GGATTAACAGAACTTGAACGTCTCTGTACTTTTTTAATGTATGTCAGATATAAAATATTTTTTTTAAGATTTGGCTGCTCTTGTTTTTGTATTGAAACTTTTTGTTTGTATTGTTAGTTTTTTATAGTGTTTTGGATCCTTGTTACTTCCGCTCAATCGGAGGGGGCGAGTTTTTCGATCTGTACGTTGGAGCGAGTAGGTTTTCCTATATTTATTTCCTAGTACAGATGCGAACGGAGAAGAATTTCCTTTGATAATGAATAAACTTATTTGCTGTAAGAGGCAGCTGAATGTTTACTTTGGACATTTAACATCGTTGATCCTTCAATCTTTTGAAATATTACAATCAGTCCAATACCCATAGTTCCGCTCAATCGAAGGGGGCGAGTTTTTCGATCTGTACATTGGAGCGAGTAGGTTTTCCTATATTTATTTCCTAGTACAGATGCGAACGGAGAAGAATTTCCTTTGATAATGAATAAACTTATTTGCTGTAAGAGGCAGCTGATTGTTTACTTTGGACGTTTAACATCGTTGATCCTTCAACCTTTTGAAATATTACAACCAGTCCAATACTCATATTTCCGCTCAATCGAAGGGGGCGAGTTTTTCGGTCTGTACATTGGAGCGAGTAGGTTTTCCTATATTCATTTCCTAGTACAGATGCGAACGGATAAGAATTTCCTTTGATAATTGCTAAGCTAATTTACTGTAAAAGGCAGTTGAATGTTTACTTTGGACATTTGTCATCGTTGATCCTTCAACCTTTTGAAATATTACAATCAGTCCAATACTCATAATTCCGCTCAATCGAAGGGGGCGAGTTTTTCGATCTGTACATTGGAGCGAGTAGGTTTTCCTATATTTATTTCCTAGTACAGATGCGAACGGAGAAGAATTTCCTTTGATAATGATTAAACTTATTTGCTGTAAGAGGCAGCTGAATGTTTACTTTGGACATTAGTCATAGTTGTTCTTTCAACCTTTTGAACCATTACGTCAGTCCACCATGTACAAAATTTACAAGTAAACATTATTTTTCTGATTCCAATTTAATGTGTATACTTCATCTTTTGAATATTTCATTTTTCTGAGTGTACTCAAAATTTAAATTGCATTCAAATCATGTGGCAAATACTGTGTATAATATTTTATAATGTTTTTATGCGTATATTTTCTGAATTTCTTTTACATACTTAGGTACCTCTATTTTTGAAGTCTATTACTTTTGAAGTTTTTGATAATATCCTCTTTTTGAATTCATTATAACTTTCTTCGAGAGCACAGACTTACATTGATTTTTGGTTCAAACTTTTGATGTTTGTTTACATATTTTTGAGTGGTTTTGAACTTTGACAGTATTTTGTAGTCTGGATAGTTACATAGATTCGTTGCGATGTATGCCTTGAGGGTCTTGTACTATCCACAGTTTCTTTAATTGAAAGTGTTTTCTTCATATGCATTTTATTTTCTTCTTGAGACTTGTCATATATGCTTTCCGCCTAGTTGCAAATCTGTGCGTATTGATAAACTCTTGAAACCTCTGGCGTATAAGTAAAACTCACTTTTGATATAGTATTTATGTCTCAGTTCAATTCAATCAGTTCAATTTGATTTGAAGTAATTGTCAATTCCTTCTTGAGATTTTTCATATATGCTTTCAGCCTTTGTGCACATTTGTGCGTATTGCTAAGTCTTGAGCTTGGTTGCGACATTGCTTTCATGTTTCGCTATAGATTTTGAAATATCTGGTGATTTTGCTTTTGCATTATTGCATTTGTTTTGATAGTCTGCTCTCATAATCTTTTTTCCGGCTTCTTATTTCTTTCAATTTCTGTCTTGACTTGAAGTAATCGCCAATTCTTATAGATTCAGTATAGTAATTCTCTTTTCATACTTTACACTGGTAAATTATTATAGTTTTTCTAATCTTGTAATATTTCATATTTGAACTTAACTTTCATTTTACAATGATATGGTTATTTTCAGTGTAGACTTTGAAGTGCGCTGATGATATCAGTGATCTACATGAGAATATCCCATAGACTATAGACATTCTTGTCTAGGGCTTTGGAGTGCACCTATGGTGACCCTAGAAAGTTGTCTTTCTCTCATATTTTTGCTTTAAATCAAAATTCGAATTCTTACCTATCATATTTATTTCTATTTCTTGTTCACTAGATTTTTTTTTATAACTCCAATTTTGCACCTACATATATCGTAGTCTTTTGCATACAATTTTTGCTTGCGGCATTACTCTCATGTATCATGATTTAATAAAATATCTTGTGATTTTCGTTTCGCTATTTTGCATTTTACATATGCTCACTTCGTTTCTCATTTATTACTCATGAAACTTTTAATATTTTGCTTACTTTTAAATTTTTTTGAGAACCCTTTATAAAATCATGCTCATATAGCTTTAATATTTCCTTTCACTTTATGATTTTAACACTATTAGATTTACAGTTGCACTTGTGTTGCACTTAGTTTTTTTGGAAATTTATTTTGCTCTTTTCTATATTGTACTTCAAATTTTTTTTTTTTTTGGTCTGGTTCTTATGTTGTCACATGACCCGAAAATTTTGATTGAACTTACTCTTGAATTTTAGTTCATTGATTGAACTTAAGCTATATTTTGACTTTGAAAATCTTACTTCAATATTTCATGAATGTCCCTTATATACTTTAATTCTCTGAAAATATTTTGAATTATTTTGTAGTCTTACAGACTGCTGGCGCCCGACAATTTTTTTGTGGAATCAGAACTGCACTTAGTTAACATCTTTTTTGATTAAAATACCTTCTTGATCAAGTTTTCATTGCTTTAGTACTTGTAAATTGTTTTGTTATATGACTTGAATTCCTAATGGAATTTGTTAATTTCTTTTGATTTTCATATTTTGAAAATAGTAAGCCACAGTTTTTTTTATATTGGATATTGGTTTAAAATATCACTGTAGATGATATTCTTTTTGGGTTTGGAGTATTGCGAGATAATCTGGCAATTGTTTTGAGAAAGATTATTATTTTTTTAGTACCTCTTATGGTTTAGGTACTTACTTAGTTTTGAAGTTTTTAGTAGTCAGTCGTGCATTTTGGATGCCATTGTGATTCGTGCTTGGACTACTGCTGAAACTTTTGGTTTATTATTTTTCTCGTCTTAGGTATGACGATGTTTTATGTTTTGGGTTTTTCATCATATGATGATAGTTTTTTTTAAGTGCAACTTCACTGTACTTTTCAGCGAGTTGGTGCTATAACCATCCCTCTTGTTTGGTAGACTTGAGGCTATCCCTTTTTCTTCCAATTCTCTTCTAACATTTTTGTTTCTACCTTACTTTTACTACTTGTTATCTGGTCGAATGGTTGTACATTTGTCCTTCCGTGATAACTTTCAATTTCCTAGTAAAAAAAAAAAAAATTCTTAAATGCTTCTTCGATTTTTTTTTTTTTGGTTAAGTTGGGGCGAGTGTAACGGTTTCACCGTCCGATCGTATTTATTAAATCACTTCTCGATTATCATTTCATTAATCCCATCTCTAGCTTTTTTGCTTGGAAAATTTTCCGCTTGGAGCGCTTGATGCGGAGTTCCTGATCTGCGATCTTCCTCGCGCTTCCTTTTCACTTGAGCCGCCGATCGAACAACGGCTAGAAATTTCCTCTCTGTAGCACACGGTTATATAGCACCATGTGCTAGAATTTTCTAGAATGTGTGTCCGTATAGGACAAAAATGGTGAGTTTTATAATACTATACAGTTTTATTGCTGGATCTGCCTGTAGTTTATAGATAATCGATATGTAAGTGATTTATTTCTTGTACGATTTTAAAATATCCATCGAACGTCATTTTCGACTACTTCGATCATTCGCCATAACTTTAATCAAATCGAGGTGGAAATCGATCCACATCGATTTTACCTCTGTGCGCGTATATATATTCATAGTTCAGTGAAATTATAAGTACGTTGATTATGAATATTCGATGATTATGTTTTTATATCAGAAGCATGTGGAGAAATTTTTGATGACCACCATCTTGTTCTACGCTTTTTTTTTGCTATTTCATGATTTTATTTTATGAAAGGCATTTCCAATTTTCGGTTTGATTTTATCAAACTATATAATGTAATTCTAACCTAGAAAATCGTTGGTTCTCTTTTGAGGCAGACTGAGATTGGAAATGCCTTGGCCATTAGGGCACGTTGCTAATGCACACGGTTCTTTTTCAGATTGGGGCCACCCCCTTTCTCTTTCCCTTTCACTTTGCCTAGCCTTGGCCAATATTTTCACCCATGCATGTACCTTGGCAGCGCCATCGCCTTTAACTTCGCCTACAACTGGTTGTGAAGCCACTATATGGAGGTCACCCCTCATAACTGGGACCTCCCCTTCAAGCCCCTGGCCATCCTGGCTTCAGTCGAGTAAAAATGGACCAGCGAAAGATAAGTCGATAGCGTTATAGCAGCGCCAAAGATGTAAAACTTATTTTGTTATTTTTGTAAAATTGTAATGTAATGAAAATGCCTTTTTTTTTGTTAAATAAAATCTGTTAAATTTTTGTGTTCTGTTTGTTCTTCTATCCTCTAGCCATGCCATGGTCGACACACAGCTACACGCCTGTAGATGTCTTCATGCCACCGACTGAGCTACCGGAAGCTAATGGTAACCCCCTTTCTGTGATTGTGCAGAAAAGTTGGAATCTTCATTGCATTCCATCTTTTCTGGACTTTTTGCGGAAAGGAAGCGTTACAATATATCAAAATACATGAAAGTTGTCCTGTTTTTTATGTACAAAAGCATCATGATGGTCTTGTTTATAATACAGTCGAATTTTCACGATTTTATTCAATATTTCAATAGAAATCACTAATATTCAGAGATCTTTGACAGTTGCTGTCAAATTGCATTTCGATAAGGTATTTTCCCATTGGTCCATAATATTAATGTTGGTGAAATTGGGTCTTAGAACAACAAAGTACAAATTAGTCATGGATTGATGAAGAGGTCAAAAGAGCACAAAGGGAAAGAGACGCACAATACCAGATTTTCAAATTTACCAACCTCCGAAAAATATATAGAAAAATGCAACAAAGTTGTTGCTCTTACAATATCAAAGCAAAAGCAGTATTACGATGAAAAGATTGGCAAATGCAAAGGAACCAGCAAACAAGTGTGGAGAACCTTGAAAGATCTCGTTAATAACAAAGATGTACACATTGACTATATGAATAGGTTGATCAATTATTTTATCAAGAATGACATAGTAGGCACCATACCTTTGAGTAATGAGGAAGCTATAACGGCAGCAGTGCCTTTAGAAGAGGAACTTTGGAGATTTCAAGAAACTTCTCTGAATAGGCTACTAAAAACTGATTTTCAATTGAAGAAAAAATCTACGGGTAGTGAAGTACTTACCTGCAGTTTGGTGAAGGAACTGTTTGATTTCATTGGCTACTTCGTTTTGAATATTGTAGTTACAACGCTCAGAACAGGAAAGACGCCTGCATTGTTGAAGAGGAGCATTATAGTCCCAGTAGCCCAAAACAAATAATCCACGTAAGCCAGAAGACTTGTGACCCATCGATCTAATGTCTGTCGTCCAGAAAATTATAGAAATAACAGTGCATGAACAGCTGAGTGAGCATCTATGTGTGATCGGGGTTCTTTTTGAGCGGCAATCAGGGTTCAGAAGGAATCATTCTTGTGAAACTGCATGCCAATTTCTATCTACAAAGTGGAAAAAAGATGTAGATGATGGTAAAGTGATCGTGTGTGTGTTGGTTGACCTATAAGGAGTGTTTGAAACTATTGACAGAAAATTGTTGTTAAGAAAATGTGAATTGTATGGAATTAAGGGTACAGCCCTCTTGGGGGTGGGTAATTACTTACCTGAGCGATTACAAGTGGTACAAGGCAGCGTACTAGTCCTATTCTATTGCTGTTTATCATATGTCAATGATATGTCCAATGTCCTTAGCAATTCTTTTATAAATTTGTTTGGGGATGATACATTAATCTCAGTTAGTGATTCAGTAAGTAACGAAATTGTAGATGTAATAAATAGTGGAATTAGCAAACTTATTTTATGGTTAAAAATAAATAAGATTGAATTAAATGTGAAAAAAACGAAATGTATTCGTTGGAAAAATAATTGCAAGAAATTGGTAGATTTAAATATGCCAGTGAAAATTGAGGGTCAGGTACTTGATTTTGTAGATAGTTTTAAAATATTCAGGTATTTTAATAGATCAGCAACTAACTTTTCATATACAAAGATTTAAATTTAAAGGTTTAGAAAATTCAATGTTTGTTGAAGGTCTAAAAATGTACAACCATCTGCCTATTCATGTAAAGACATCAAGTAATGCTACAATTTTCAAAAAGAGACTTCGGAGACACTATTTTAGTTTGTTGTGCGTGTTTGTAAATTTAACATATTTTTTGTAAATAATATTATTGTTTGAAGGAGCTTAAAGCTAAATAAATAATTTCTATTCTATTCTGTATTTGATCTTTGCATAGGTGAATAGTTTTTATTCCTGATTTCAGAAACGTATAATATGCCATACAGTGACATTGCAAAGCCTTAGTAACTTCAAAGAAATCAAATTTCATAGGTATAACTTGAAATTATTATTATCATTTGTGTCATAATATCACCAGCCAAAAGTTCTATTTCGAACTCCCATTGTCTATTCAGTTTCAGAGATCGATTGATGTAGTTCAACTTTTGAAACATCCATATTGTCTACAAATTTCAAATACCCTCAGCCAAGTAGTTCTTCAGTGTATAAGAACTAGGCATAACTAAATAGTTCTTACTTCCGATTTCAATGATGTGATATTTAACGAAAAGTATACAGTTGGTCTTATCGAATAAAGAGCTGCTAAAAACTTTCAATATTATTTTCAAGCTTCAACGATGCCTACAGCTAAAGTAGGGTAGTGCAAAATCCTAAGCAATTTGCTGTTTAGAAGCCGGTGGGTACAGGGTAATTTTTTTAGTTTCATTTGATTTTTCGGCAGCTGATGTTAGAATACGCTTCTCAAATACGGAAGTGATCTTTAATTGGTGATGTAATCTAATATACATGTGATAAGCAATCATTTTTAAGATCAACCATGAAAATATTAATCTCTTTGAAAAAACTATGGTTTGGCGACGTAAGTGTTTGATGTATTATACATTTCTGGAATCAGAATTGAAAATTCTATTTATCTGAGTAAAAATATAACATGGTGACCATAAGAGAAGACTAAAGTTGGATATTGAGAGCAAGATACTAGACATCAGCAGGAAGTAAGGAACGGGAAAAAAACGATTTTCGGAAAACTCGTTCTTTTCTCCAGAAATTTTGTTAAATGCAATTTTCTAACTTAACTAAACGTGCAAATTTGGACCAATTTAACCGATTTCCTAGACTACAGGAGCTCACTGTTATGTTGCTTGACCGTTGTGATAAGTCAGTAGTGCCATATTCATACAGAAACAGGATCTACATCATTTGTTACAAATGCATTTTCCTTCATGTAATTACGCACACTTGATACGATAAGGCTGAGGCTCGGCACACGTTTCTAGTGCAGTAGCAGCCATTTTTGCCGGCTGTAAAAAGGCTTTTCTCTCCAACCATCACAAACATTGCAGCCAGTGGTGCTTCAACGCTTCACTGTGAGCTTTCACGGGTGTTTCCATCCGCATGCTAAGATGCAGTGCACAAAAGGCCCTTCAACGGCTTAACGTGCCGGAATATTACGAGACGTTTGCGGTGGAAGCGGCAGGCTTTTTTCGTTTCTTTCACTCCAAGAGGAAAAATTACCATTATGGAAAAATATGCTCATCTCCGCTATGTTAATGCTCACATTGCATGGACATCTTCTACACGGGAAAACTGGGTAATACTTTCTTATAGAAAACTCATTGTTTCTTGAGACCTACCGCTCGATTTTGTAGAGAATTGTAGACTCCAGTCTATCAGCATCACGTCTGAACCTCAATACGGAGAGACGTAAGCATTTATTCACAGGGTCTTCAAAAATGTGAAAAATAATCCATTAGTGATCTGAAACGTGCCTTGACTATGACCTTCAAGGTAATTTGGGGGTCGACATTTTTATAGATAGATACCGGAAATAAGAAGGGTAAGAAACTTTATGTTCCCGTACGTCCATAACCTTGACTATGAAGATCAAATGAATGTTTAACGGAAAACATCTACTTTTAATTCCTGAAGTGTAAATTGCGTACATTTTTAAGTTCATATCCTTGCCAATGAAACCTGCCCACGACTTCCCAAAGTGATTTTAAGATCAGATGAATCTTCAAATATGCTTCTTACTTTTCGTCGAGCATATAAAACAGCAAAATGGCGTTACACTGAAATTAATTTATTATTGCGTTAAAATGTTGCAAATCTTTCGCCGAAACCAATCTTTTCAACACTAATGCAGAACGAATGATTTATACTTACACGACTTCTACGCGAGCGGATTCGCGAGTTTAGTCTAGTAATCATATAAGAAGAGTAATATTCAATTTGATCATTGCAAAAGATAATGAAAACTATTATATTAGGCTTCTTTCTAAGTTAGGTACATTTTTAGATACTCTATAAGCAGCCACTAATGTCACATGCGCCGTTATATATGACTCAGTTTACTGGCTGCACGGACTGTTTATGTCCTAATTCCGAAAAACAATAAAAAAATATGCCCCAGTTTAAACGCGGAGAATTATCAGGTATCTAAAGGAGTATATAACTACCAAGTGACCAAATGCAAATCGCAGTCGTTTAGCTGCGATATTTAAGAATGGCCGGCAAGTTGTAAGACGGTCATTCAATAAGCCTTCGTAACCAGTGGACCGATTTTAACTTTTCAAAGCTCCGTTCACTCATTTTTAGGAACAAACATATTTTATGGTTACACAATTTTTGAGTGGTCTTGTAGTTATTCAGATATACCAAGGTCTCTAATTTTTATCACTTTGTGCAAATACTACTTTAAACGGGAGAATTGTCCATTTTTTGTCAAAACCAATTTCAAAGATTTAAAAGTATTGTACTAAATAAGTAAAAACTTATACGAGCCGTCATTTTTGAATGCGGGGAATTAGCTGGCAGCTACAGGAGTATATAAAAAATAGGTCACGTGATGCAAGTCGTGGTTGTTTGGTTGCCATATTTGAAAATCACTTCTTTTATTCATCTTTCAAAACCTCATCATCATTTGCATTGTCCTGAACGTTTGGTGATGATGATGTAATTGGTTTGCTTCTTGTGGAAAAAAACACGAAAGGAACTAATTCTAAATCCGACCAAGTTGGAATGACGGTCGTTGTACCGTTCCTCCATAGGTGATGCTCAGCAAGTAGCTGCGGAATTGGCTAGCAACTATTTTGTACAGAAGTTGATATTAAATCGATTTTTTAAGTACTACTACTGTGGTTTGTTATTTACCATCGGAAAATTGAATTGCGCTGATGAAACCTAGGCTATGGCCGACACATGCAAAGATAGTTGACAAAAGTTTATTTTTAGACTGGATTTTGTGAAATGGGAAAGTCGTATATATCACTACAGACACGTTCATATAACACGTCATCAGTGAAACTAAAGATAAATCAGATACGCTTAGAGTATAGCATAGCACACACTGCTGAAATCGGTAAGCTTTTATCTTCCGTTGACCGCCAAAATCCTGTGTAATTTCCCCCAGAAAATGTGGCATGTGCTTGGCTCAGCGAACACAGGGTGATTCATTATGATGTTATATGTAATTAGCTTCATTTTGATGCCGACAGAAAGGAAACCCCACTACCCTTCATCACTTATTAAAAGTAAGCTTATCCCATGCATGTATACAGACCTTACCCTGGGATCAGAAGTGGGACGCAAAATCGGAATTCAGAGAAGCTAACCTACAGACCTTGATCGAAATGTGTTTGAGATACTGCACAAAAATGTCTGTACAGAGTGGAACTTCCCATGCACCTAGACAAAAAAGAATTTATCGATTCGTGCATATCGTGTATGACGGAAATAAAATGAGTACCAAGAAGATGTTCTGACACAAAATGTGAATTTATGTATAAAAGAAATTGTATTTCACGGCCTCAGACCAAGAGCCGTGATGGATTTTGACAAAAAAGGTGTCGTTGGGTTCAACTTAGCAATTCACTGACAATATAAAAATTTTAGGATGACAAAATGGCGGATTTAGATAATAAAAATCAAATACAAACCAAGATCTACCATAAGATTCCTATTTCACAGGTTACAGCTTAAGCGGCTCGGGGTATTTTGACATATATGTTGTTGGATTCGTCTTAACATTACGAGTGACATTGGCTATGTTAAAATTTCGTTAACACAAAATATCAGATTTCAATAGAAAAAATTGACCTCAAAATTCCTATTTCACGGGCCACGTCTTAAACGGCTTGATGGATTTTGATATAGATGTCATGTTGTTGGATTCATCTTAGCGGTGTCAGTGACACTGACTATATTCAAATCGCATAAAAGCAAACTAGCGGGTTTTGATAAATAA